TACTTGATTTATAACGGACCATCTAAAGGCACGTGGCACCACTGGTAAACAACGTGTTCTGCCATTTCTTTGTATTTTCCGGTGAAGAACTTCTGCCCTTAGCTCATAGGTTTTCGCAATGTTTTCAGCAAGGGAAAAATCTTTTAATTTATTCACAATGTCGGCTATGTCCGAGTTTCGACGCTGTTCAGCAATGAGCCAGTTGCTTGAAATTTCAGTCAGGTTAACTCTTTTCTCTTCAATCACCCTAACTGCGGAAGTAGGCTTTAGCAAAAGAGGATTTCTTGAAAAAAAGTCGACGTGCGCCATTCTTTTTCCTGCTCTATATTGAATATCAAATGTAAACGCCTGCAAATAATCCCACCAACGTTGAGCTCTGGGGGTCAACTCTTGTTTACTTTTTGACGCCTTTAGCGAGTTACAATCAGTAAACATAGTAAAATTTCTTCCCAACAAATAATGTCGAAACTGTTTAATAGAGTTTACAACAGCTAGAGTTTCCAACTCATAAGAGTGATATCTAGACTCTGCAGGTGAAGTAGTTTTGCTATAGTATTCTATTACATGAGGTTTGTTGTTAATTTTGTGTAATAAAATTGCACCGTATCCATCACAACTCGCATCTGTATGCAACTCAATTAGATAATTTGGGTCAAAAATGATAAGCACTGGTTTATCAGTAAGAATAGAAATAACATTTTTCCGTATCTGCTCGTGTTCAGTTTTCCAAATAAATTTACTTTTTTCTGAAGTTAAGAAGTACAACGTGAAAATCCCTCAATAAATTGTCGGAAATAAGATGCCAAGCCAATGAATTAAGTTTTATTTTATCTTGAGCGTCAAGATCGGTGTCAATATCGGTCGGCTCACTGCCAGTACATAGATTAATTATTTTAGCTCTTGAAATCTTAAATTGATTTGATGAAACAACAATATCAAAACCTTGATTTAGTATTTCCCGACCAATGACAATATTGTTTTCCATTTGATCATCACTTATTACATACAACAGAATTTCAATGCAATAGTCATCAATGTTTACACTACTTAATATTTGTACTGTACTACATATTCCACTACCGCCTTAGCCCTTTAGCACAACAACATTATTCGATCTTTTGCCAGAAAATTTGTTACTTATCTTTTCTTTTAGAATAATGTCAACGGTAATACACCACGATGATGCGTTGGCGCCCGACTTGTCTGGGTTAAATTTAGGTAGTTGCACTGATTTACTTTGCACTGTGTCCGTTGTTGTTGTTTGTAGAGCCCGCACCAGTTCAATTAAATTTTTATTTTGCATTTCCATTATGGCTTTCCATGACGCATCTACTGTTGAAGGTAGAGGGCCAGATCCCACTTCTGATGTCGGAACAGTATTATTGTCGGTCATCGTTTCGCGCAGCGAGTTTCGATCGCACTTGAATTTTAGACGCAACTAACTTGTGTCTCTGAATTATTCTATGTCCCTACTCTCGAACCTCACTCGGCGACAGCGACACAACGCTGTCGCCCCGCTAAAACGGTACTTCTTAAGCGACAACATGCAAATATTGGCTGATGCAATGTGATGAAATCAATTCCTGGAACTTAGCCGAAAACTACAACCACACTCATACAATCTCATTACACACCGACACTACAACCACACGCATAAGTACGAAGGCACACAGAAAAGGGAAAATATGCGAGTAGGTAGTAAGCACAATTACAGTGCGCGCCAACATATTAATACTACTTGCTTCGACATATACATACATATTTCCATATAAAATAAAATAAAAACCTCCCCTACTCTAACATAATTTGCGTCGCCTTGGCACCCGCGCCACTGCTTTGCTTGACTAGCCAGTTGCTAAAATAGAATAGCTTAATAAGAGAGCGTCATCAGACAAACCTACAGTAACGGCTAGAAAGTCCAGAAATTAATCGAAATTCTAAGAATGTGAGAAAAGGCGCGCTTCTGTCTGTACGCATAGAATAGACGATGAGTGTATATATGTATAGGAAAATCGCGCTGATCTGCTACTAGCTTGAAGCACTAACCAGCATAGCTCGCAAATAACTGTTAACACTTTTTCGTTGTCTGCAAATAAGGGTCTTTCACTGACACAATCAAAACAAGTAAGAAGACTCTAGTCGAGAGTGCTCGACTATATACTACCCTGAACCCAACAAATAAAAATGCCCATTTAGTATGTCTGAAATTTCAATTTCGATGTATTTAAAAATATAAATAAAATACCAAACTCATTTAATAAAATATAAAAATATTTTGAAACAATTAACATCATAACAAAGTCAACATCAGTTGCACCGATCGGGATTTGAACCGCGACTTCTCGATCGATCGTCATGCAGCTAACACACTACGCCACCTCACTTCGCCAAGTGGTTCTGGCAAAACTCAAATAGAATCACTGCTGCAGCGCCATTTACCAAAACTAAACGAAACTAACTTCTGATGTGATTCTAAGAATCTGCTAGCATAACCAAACTATTAAAAACGCACATTAAGTATAGTTAAAATTGCAATTTCGGTGTATTTAAAAATATAAATTAAATAGAAAACTCATTTATGAAAATATGCACGTGCGTTTGTTAATTGGCCAAATATTTGATTATTTTTTATTAATTTTTGAATGAATGGAATTTAATGAAACTTTCAGCATATGGTCTACATATTATATTAAATATTTGACAAATTAAAAAAAAATTTAAAATCATTCACAATTAGCTATAGTGGCATCTGACTTGAACTTGAATGTTTTTACTCGATAAAAACATAACGGGATGATTTATCGAATTTTAAAAGCAAACTCGACGTTCGCGCTGTATATACGGTCAGACGGACAGACAGACAGACGGACAGGGCCAAATCGACTCAGCTCGTCGCCCTGATCAAGAATATATATACTTTGTGGGGTCTGCCACGCCTCCTTCTGCCTGTTACATACATTTCAACAAAACCATTATACCCTGATTTCCCATTGAAAATGGGTTCAGGGTATAACAAACTCAGACAGAAATTGTTTTTGTCGCGTCTGGCTTAGCTCGCTCGCACTCTGAGGAAGACAGTTATTTCTGTTTTCGTTTCCTCAAGTCAAACATTGATCGTTTGCTTGAGCGATTGCTGCGTTCTTTTGGTATGTATGTATTCGTGTATTTACATGCACACGAAGGCAAAAACAATTTCTGCTGAGTTTTTTAGTCAAACTGTTTTTTGCTGAGAGTCTTTGTGTGAGGGAAGATCGTGTTAGTCTTTACGCGACACTCATGTGAGAGCGTCACACGAATGAGTCATTGCATTGCGTCTGAGCGAAACAGATTCTAAAGAAAACTAAATGTGTAACACATAGACCGGACAAGTAATGTAAAGCGTTTTGCACACTTTTTTTCGGGAGTTATCTCCCAGACACTTCGTATTTTCTCGGCTCCTCACTTTTTGGGTTCGGGCTACGAAAATATACGAAAGCACACGCGAAAAAACGATCAACTCTCATTTGCGATAGACTTATTTTAATAATTTTTATCTAAAAATATGTGCTGTAAGCTTTATGTTGAATATTAGTAAAAATTTTGTCTAAAGAACTCATGATTGAATTAATAAGTAACAAGGGGGCGGGGAAAGGCGTGGTCTAATCGTAGAGAACAAAAATTCAACCTCCTAGCTCTATTTTTAGAAATGATGCCAAAATTTCAGGGTTTTTTCCTATAGTGCAGTCGAGGCTGCTCGACTAGGAGATCTCATGAACCCTTCGAGCAATAGCTATTTCAATCATTTTTCGCGTCTTTCTGCTTACACAAGACACACGCACGCTTACAAACACACACACACACATACTTACACTCTTCTGGATGGACTATCTTCATGAAACTTTCAGATTATGAATACAACATATATATGCATGTATGTGCTAAACCACAAATTTCTAGTCTTTGAAATACGCCGTTTACAAATGTGATGGTGAGGGGGTGAATTAGGAGTGGGGGGTAAATTTTGACCAAAATCGAAATTGTATAAAATGCATATAAGTATACATAGAAAAGTTGGAGACTCTAGCTTTAAAGATGTAGGAGATATAAATTTATTACTGGTTTTCGATAGGGTTTTTAATCGATAACAAAACAACGGGACAATTTATCAATATTTAAAGAAAAACTCGATATGCGCGTGCTATACACCAACCTAGCTCTTATATCTTTTGAGATCCACGCGCTCAAACATGCGGACAGACGGACAGAGGTAATTCGACTCAGCTCGTTGGCCTCATCAAGAATATATGTACTTTATGGGGTCTGCCACGCCTCCTTCGGCCTGTTACATGCATTTAACAAAACCATTATACCCTGATTTCCCATTTTCAATGGGTTCAGGGTATAAAAAGAAATTAAAATGAAACGGTTTCAATGTAGAGAAATATATTTTGAAATAAAAATTAAAACACCCCCAAACCATCACATTACCTCCACCTTGCTTAACTATTTTGAGCAAGTTATTTTCCTGAAGCTCCTTCTTATGTTTCCGATAGATTTTTTTTTTTTTTTTGCTCCATGAGACCCTAATATATTAAATTTGGACTCGTCAAGTCCAAATGTATATGACTGATTACGCCTTTTGTGCCAATACTTTTTTGACGAAAATTTGTGCTTATATTTATATTTTAGTTCTGCGCCAGTGAACCCAAATAGAAATTAAACTTTTCTTTGTAAAATATTATTAGGAAAACATAGTTTTAACAAATATCGCTTTTCATTTATTTATAGCTGTGTTCAAAAAAAAGTTACAGCTCTTAGAAGTTTGATTTTTCAAGTGTACCAATACTTTGTTGACTGTATGTACATACAACAAAACTAAAGCCGTGCCCGCTAGGCTAAAGAACCTATAAGTTCTTCACATTTAATGTTATTCTCTTGAAGAAGTTCGAATGGTTCAGCATCAAGCATGTAAGATTTAAATATTCCATTCGTATTGACATATATAATAAATATAAGTGGTGTATAATAAATGTAGTTATTTTATTATAAGATTAATTTTTTCATGTACATGCGGTTTATTATATGTATACATATTTCTCTATTATGTAAGTAGTATAATAATAATGGGAATACTTGTTTTAATTATTATTAGCATATTGTAAAAATGTATTGGTTTTATTTCATTAAAGTAGTAATGTAGTGCTATAGTAGTTATGTAGTACTAAATATATCATTTTGCTTTCTACTTAGCATATATTGTAATGGTGATGATACGTGATCCTTTAAAGCAGAAAAATGGGTAATTTTTTTTTTTTTTTGTAATTATTTTATGTTGATAGAATTTTACATTAAAATTGCATAAGCCTTATCTAATCAGTACTATTTGCGTTCAGAATTAACATTATGTGTGATTTATAGCCTATTTATTTCCATTTTTTTTTTTTGTATACATCATAAATAATTACGCTGTAAGCATAGATTAGTTCACCGAAAATCGTGTTTCAATTAACAATTATAAGATGTTAAATTTATTAGCTTTATGGAAATATTTACTATTTACTAAAGCGCTTCCTCGTATGTACTTTGTAAAGGACAAATTTTTCGTATTCTTGATCTTTCACTTATACTAAAATATTTAGTTATTAGAGCACCTCATTACACGTTAAAGCCAGCCTTCAAAATTTGCGACTGAGAATATTAATATAGTAATTCAATTCTACATTTACAATCAACATTGACCGACAATTATGTATTTTCTTCAATGTGTTTAAGATTTGTAAAATAATGATTGTGATATTTATTGGAGAAACATGGCAATTCAAATTTAAAATATATACTCATTCATAAAGTTAAAAGCATGACAAACAAAAGAAAATCACCCCATTCTAAAGTCTTACAACTAGAAATAGTCGATAGCACCCGACCGCAGCATACACACTTTTATTAAATATATATTTCGAAAGTAAATATAAACATTCAGTGATAAAATAGGTTTAATTTTTATTTGTATTTTTAACTTAATTTAGTGAATACTATCAGTTAATAAAAGAAGAGTGTTGGAATCATTAATTTTACATATACATACGACTAACTATTTTCATACTTGATCAGAAAAGTGAAATTAGTATATTGGTTTTCAGCAATCTCTTTGCGTCTATCCGTATATTTTCATTTTTTTATGCTATTGCAGCTAGAGACTGAATGAATATTTTGCCATAAAATGATTTATCCTGCTTTTGAATCTGTCAAATGATAAAAAGCTGTTCTGAAATTCATAATTTTTATATGTATTTATGTATCTGATTTTCTTATATGCTGTAAAAATATATTTTACATATATACACAAGAAATAATAATAAATATTGATTAATCATAATTGTATTCGAGCTTTACATAATTTGTGGGAATATGAATACAGTCATTTATTTTTTTTTCATTTTAGTATCGAGTATGTAATATTTATGTATGTATGTATTATGTATGCATTTATGTATGTTATGTAATATATGTATTAATATGTATATCACAAGTTTGAAGAGAGTAGAAAGTGACGAATTAACTACAATTGGCAGTAAGCGGTCAATATATATATATATGAAGCGCAATGGCTTAGCAGTTGATGCCGTTAACACTACTGCAAATTAGAGACACACTGCGACTTGGCTGATTAACTTCATTCGTTGGCTTACCATGACCTAGCTCCACTTGCTCTTCATTGCCTCCCCGAAAACGCAGGAAGCCCTGATCAGCAACAATCATGCTATCCGAAGTGCATGATTGGGATTCAGCATCTCCTGATGTTTTTGACACATTTGCCTTTAGATCGGGGCTGCATGTTACACTGTGCTCCTGCAGACTGTTGTGTGCTAGATGCTGATGAATGGATTGTACATGCAGGTGTGGAGATTTTCTTGTTGTTATGCTGTTATCGCTTGCTATACAATAGCCATGCTCACTATTACTTATCAAGTTAGTGCACTCGACATTGCTGCCAGATATTATATCCTCATCTTCCTCATCTTCCTCTTCAGAATTGTTATGATTGTAATGATGCTGCGGATGCTGGTGTGGTTTCTGCTGTTGTTTTATTTGATGTTGCTTTAGCGCCAATTCATTGCAAACGCTCGGAGCTAACTCAAATTCATTTAATGGCAATGTTCTATTATTGATTGTACTCATATTGCGCCCACTCCTTTGAAAATAATGCGAGCGCTCATTATGTGCTAAGGTCTGAGCACCATTCACTCGTTTAATGCTCGGCATAACAGCAATTGCACGTCCTGGGCCTGGTCCAGGACCAGGACCACTTGCTATACTGATACCTCCAATTTGACCAGCAAGCATTGTTGAACATGTATCAATGTTGTTTAATGTACCACTTTTACGCACACCGTTGTAATGGCTACCACTTTCATATGAATTATAATTGGTATAACGTATACCATTTGATGAAGAACATGAATTTGTTGAATTGGAGCTACGTCGTTCTGGATTTTCAGTTGTCGTATCGAGCTTACTGTTATGTTTTCTATCACGACTCTTTGTGATCTTGCGCCCCTCTTTCACCCTTTCTGGCCAGCATTCATCGGTCGGATGTGGACTACTGTCAATAGATTTCTCTTTGAAAACAGGCCGCTCAAAATTATTAAACTCGTAGCTGGAGTTCTCTTGTAATGGCTCAGAATAGCAACTATCACTCTGCAATAGCAGCATTTGCTGTTGCGATGTACCGGATGTACCGGACGAACCGGACCCAGAAGCCGATCCAGATGCTGATCCAGAGCTAACAGTATTTTTCGCCTGTTTCTGCATGGCTGCAACCCCCACCACACCGACAGCACCCGTAGAATTCGTGCGTAAATCAAAATTTGGATTCTCGTAATGATCTGTTGTGGTATCGGTCATATAATCTGCACTCATATAGGACGCTGGTTCATGCGCACGCATATTCTGATGATTATGATTAATATGATGGTATCTCGATGATTGCTGACCATATTCAGCGGTAATATTATGATTGATGGAACCCGTATCATAAGGTCTTTGATACATAGGTTCCTGCAGCTGATACTCGGTGCCACCGCCACTTGGAGACGCTGCCGATGGTCCAGCCAACGAGTTAAGCGCATAGCTATCATCATAGATAAGTTTGCCCGTACGCATTGTGTACGTATGTAAATTAGTGTTTGCGTTGCAAATAGCTGGGTAATCGGTTTCAAACTGTTCCTGACTGGAGCTCGACGTGCAAGGCAAGAAGAAGTTCGCTACATTTGAATGTGAGTTGTGATGGGCAGGAGCAGCAACAGCATGTTTTTCTCTGATTACACTACCAGTGGCATTGGCACCAAAACCACCACTAGCTTGTCCAGCCATACGTACATCACTATTGAGGGATATGGCAGCGTTGACATTGCTGCCCTGGCTGGTCTTTAAGCCAGTCACCCAGGATATTAGTGTTATGATTGCAATCTCGATTAGACGCAATGAAAACTGATAGCCCCACTGCATCCAGTCAATTTCAACAATATTTGCCTGGCTCATAAGCGGGCGTGTCGCTGAGATGCAAATAGCGCCAAAGATTTGTAGAGCAGCTAATAAAACAAACAGCAAGGCCGTTGCGATTGTTATATGAATCGCATAGGACAAATTTTGATAGCCATGTATATAGTTTTGTGATTTGCTTCTTAATATACGCTTTAGAATGCGATATAAATATAGATATAGTAGACCCAAACTAAAGCAAATGAAAATATATATTATTTGACATATCAGTGAAAGAACACGAGGAGGAGGCGAATTGGCCAAACTGGTCGATGGGCTACCAGAAAATGGGGATTGCGAATGCAATTGTTGATGCTGCTGCTGTTGTTGGCGACGAAAATATTGATGCTGTTGCTGTTGCTGATAGTACATATGGTGATTTTGCAGTGTATACGATTCGACATAATGTAGTGTAATGCAGAGTCCAACATGAACACCACATCCGACAACGACAGTCAGTGGCCTAACTAACGCAGAGTACCGATTATTTTTGTGATTGAGGGACTTGAGAAACAGAAAAAGTATAAGCACTGCAAATGCAACTGTCAAGAATGTTGATGGCAAATTCAAAAGAAGCTCTGCTGCAAATATTTGGAATGTTCCATGAATATTGTATGCGTCAACGCACAAGTAAATTATGCGCATTATGCAAATTGTAATTAGTATAAGTTGTATGTAAACAAAATATGACTGAGCGAAAAGATGTGTCAATTTGTTATAAGTGACAAGTTTGTAAAGCGAATAGACTGCTAATATTGTGAATAATACGACTGACAGATATATATGTATGTTCCATGCCCATGTCCATGTGGTATTTGCAGATGCTGCTGCAGCAGCAGCAGCGCCTACAGCATCTCCTTCCCTAGCAGTGACTCCTATTACGCCAGCATCTTGACCAGATTTCCCTGCTGCTGAAATGCTTTTCAAAGTTGGCTTTGGGTTTGTTGTTGCCGATGCTGACGTAAACGATGTAGCAGCTGCCTCACCAATTGAAGTTGAAGCGGATAATGTGGTAACTGTTGTCTGACTAGCATTGTTTCCGAACGAATCTCTTGCAGCAGCACTATTATTGTAATCCAATTGTCCAGACGATTGTTTACTCTTATTTATATTTGGACTGGCAGCGGAAGATGTACCATCATCAGTCATACTACTGATGTTGCCATTACCATTTGCAGTTTCAACGTTATCAACCGAAACAATCGGCGATGCTGGAGGCTGATGATAGGGGACCATAGGACGCTGTGTCACATGGCGCAACAAAACTGCAGGAATGTCACCTTTCTTACCATTTGATCCCAGTATGCGTCTGATATTCGGCAATACTTCTTGCCTTTTATTTGAATTTTCTTTGCTATTAGAAATCCCGACATCTTGTGTTTTACGATTTTTAGCATTAGGATCTGATGATTCAACTGCACCGGCATCATTTCCATTGCGTGCCGGTGTATTAAGTGCTTTTTTACGATCGCCGGCAATATCCAAAGCTCCCTCTATGCTGGTCGCGACAAGTGGCTTCTTCGGCTCCACAGAACTGGCAAAGTAACTATCATTTGTATTGTGATTTGAATTACCATCTCCGTTACCATGCGACGCGGCCAAATCGGGTGGACGAAATGGTATCCTTTCATGACCGGGCATCAAGCTGGGCGGCGGTATTGGGCGCCTATTATTAAACGGAACTGTGTTCGATATAAGGCCTTCATTATTTGTGCCCCGTAAGGTGGGTTTGTCAGCGAACGGATTTTGATATTCCGGCGGTAATGGCGGGGTAAAGAATGCTCTTGATGGTGGCGAATATGACGGTATATCTCCAGGGTACATTGGTATAGTTGGCTGACCGCTGATTTTCTTTAGTAAGTTAGGAACTATTAAAAAAAAATATATATTCAAATACTACGTTAATTCATATTCAAATTCATTAAAAAATTAATCTAATTACTTGATGGCATTGGTGTTGAATTGTACTGCATAGTGTGCCGATGACGATCTCTATCATGACTGCTGCTGCTGTGATGGCGATTTGGATTCGGATAGGTGGGATTATTATTACTTTTTAAAATATCAGCGTTTGGTGCAGAAGTTGGCAGTGCATGATCTCGTTCCAAGTCTAACTCATAGTTTCTATGGCGACCTCCGTTATGCTGAGCTTGGTTTGCCGCTTGGTATCTATAACAATTTAAAAATAAAAAAATGAATCACGTTGTAAGCTCAAACCAATTAGTATTGTTGGGAATCCCCTAGACTGCCTGAACCTTTTGAAAAGCTGATATTTCAATAATTCTTAGTTGCTTTTCTGCATACCCAAGAATCAACATATGTACTTATTTGCATATAAACATTTCGTGTGGAATGAATCGGAAAATACATTTTCTGATATACCACAAATCATTTTAGTTGCAGAGCTAGAAAACTAAAATTTGGAATGTACCTAGATCAACAATCTATGGTGAATATATCTACGCCACTAGAGGCGTGGCAAAACAGACTTGAAGATATAGTGATTTTTGAAAATCTGCTATATTTGGGACACTATCAAAGAACTGAAATATGATATAAATACTTGGGTTGACCCCCCAAGTCCAAAGAGCTATGGCGGATATATCTACGCCCACAGGGGGTGTGGCAAACCGCTAAAGTTCATATATCCTATAGTTTAAGAGCTAGAAGCTTCAAGTTTGGATAGTTGAGTTACTGATAACCTCTATCGATGACTCAAAAATAATTGTTACGCCTCTTTAGGGGCGTGGCATATCGAAAATACCCTGTTTTCACATTTTTGAGCTAAAGCGTTCCAATTTTGCAGTTAGGTTACCGTTAGCTCGCTCTAAAAACTGACCAAAAATAAGGTGTCTTCGGCCAATAGGGGCGTGGCGAATCGGGATTTTCTAGTGTATTAGAGCTAGAACCTCAAAACTTAGCTACGATATTGCTGGGATGTGAATGAGTATTCTGCAGTCCCAACTGCAACGTTCTTACTTGTTTTCGTTTATTTCTGAAGCAGAGCGTGTACAATAAAAATCAATGGTCCAGGGTAAAAAAAGAGTAGTCTACCACAAAAACTCGACAGCGGCTCTGTGAAAATACCCTACTACTCGAACGCTATCTAGCAAATCTAAACAATGTAGTGACGAATAACTTATAGTACGCATAAAGCGCAATTGGAATAGCCATTTTCGATAATATTTTAAGCCGATAACAATAAAATCGGAATAGCTACCGAAATTTTGTCAGCTATTAAAAACCATTAAACGCTGATTTTCAATTATCAATGGATTCAGGATATTACATATTATATTTTAAGAATGTCACAGTTGACCACGATCGACTACGGAATTCTAGGATTACAACGGGTAATTACACTCATTCACAAAAGTGAATGAAAGAAAGTACATACAGTGGACCAATAATGTCTTCGTACAGCAATGATTTTTTTCTTTGGCAACGAATAAGAGATGCAAGATGGGCAAAATTAAAAATTTTAATTTACAGATTTATTAACTATTATTTTAACAACAAATTAGAAAAAAGATAATTTCAATATTTTGCTTAGCATAAAAGTTATAACTAAAAACAATAAAAAACGCGCTTTTGCCTCCAATAAAGTCTTCGTACACTTAACCTATATGCTTAAAAAATACTCTTATAAACTGCGAAAGAATATACAGTAGAATCCGGTTATAGCGACATTCAAAGGACCGACGATTTTACGTCGCTATACCTGGAGGACGCTTTAACCAGAATGAGCAAAAAAAAAATGTTTTTAATTTTTTTACGGTTGCTATGTTTGTAAAGGGGTTTAACCAGTGTTTGAAAAGCTGACAGTCACAGCAGCAACAGTCGTAAAATTTGGTCTGTGCTGTGCTTCTGCAGCCAACAGTTTTCGCAGTTCCGTTATTGCTTGAACTGTTGCTGCGAGCATTTTCGACAGTCGCAGCAAAAGCAAAAACATTTTTTGATCAGCAGCGCAACGCTTCGGGAATCGACAGCTTTATTTATTTTTTTATTCGTCATCTTCTTGGAAGAGCGGCAGGTTGTCAATTGCTGTTTCCAGGAAGCTAGGATTGAGCTTCATAAGCAATATATTTTCCAACGACTCTGCACTTAAACGATTGCGATAATCGGTTAAAACCAGTTTAAGTGTGGAAAATGCACGTTCAATAGTCACCTATTAATAAAAAAATAATACTTCCAAACATCACATTGTTTATTACGCGACATTTTTCCTGTTGCTCGGATGCACATTAATACAAGACTACACCTACGATCTGTTTCATTGCTACAAAGTATGCGCTGCTGATCAAGAATTGTTTTTTGCTTTTGCTGCGACTGCGACTGTCGAAAATGCTCGCACACAACAGTTCAAGCAATAACAGAACTAAACTGTTCGCAGTTTTTTGAACACTGGGTTTAACATAAAAAAATTTAATTTTAATGTTATTTAATTATATACAGTTGCGAAAAATAAAATAGCACCACTTGCAAACGCAAAGTTTAAGAAGTTCTCCTAGGTGCATTTATCAATGTATTGATCTAATTTTTTCTTGTATATAAGCAGAAAAGAATTAATAATCGCAACAAGCAAGAATTATCCCAAAAATATTAATCGTTTTTATATAATTCAAAAAATTCTCAAAAAAGTCGTAAAAATGCCGAAAAAAATAATAGCACCACTAACCCTATTCGAGTGAAAATATATATTTTTCGCAGATTTGAATATCTTCAAAAGCACTAATTGATGAGATTTGTTGTTTATATATCTATTTTGATTTAAAAATTTTCAGAATTTGTGAAAATTTTCAAAAAAAAATGGGTCGTGAAGAGCATTACACCACCGAACAACCCAATCTCATCAAAAAGTTGATTTCGGCTCAAAATTTTCACAGGAAAGTTGGTCATTTGATGGGTTGTTCAAATAAAATGATCCACAATGCATTAATCCATAAAAAAAATTAATGAAAAGCGCGAATTTCGTTGAGTTCTGACCCAAAATCATGTCACTCGTCTCATTTACGAGAGTAAAAGGATCCTTTTAAGCCGGCTACTCAACTGAAAAAGGACCTAAACATATCAGCAATGGACCAAACAGTACGGAAATATTTAAGACATCTCGATTTGAACACTTTCCGTTCAAGAAAAGTACCATATTTGAATATAAAACACATTTCCAAACGGATGGCGTTTGCAAAAAAGCAGTCTCATACTAATACACTTGATCCGCTATGTTTAAGGGTTTTTTTTGTATATCTAAGACCGAATTCTAAGTTCTGTGGATGTCTCACGTAGGACCGCGATCCTTTTCCACTAAAAATTAGCATCTTACTTTTATTATTCAAAAGTATGTTTCTCCATTCCTGCGTAAACCAATTTTTGTGTTTCCCTTGCAAACGCCATCCGTTTGGAAATGTGTTTTATATTCAAATATGGTACTTTTCTTGAACGGAAAGTGTTCAAATCGAGATGTCTTAAATATTTCCGTACTGTTTGGTCCATTGCTGATATGTTTAGGTCCTTTTTCAGTTGAGTAGCCGGCTTAAAAGGATCCTTTTACTCTCGTAAATGAGACGAGTGACATGATTTTGGGTCAGAACTCAACGAAATTCGCGCTTTTCATTAATTTTTTTTATGGATTAATGCATTGTGGATCATTTTATTTGAACAACCCATCAAATGACCAACTTTCCTGTGAAAATTTTGAGCCGAAATCAACTTTTTGATGAGATTGGGTTGTTCGGTGATGTATTGCTCTTCACGACCCATTTTTTTTGAAAATTTTCACAAATTCTGAAAATTTTTTAATCAAAATAGATATATAAACAAAAAATCTCATCAATTATATTTTTGAATTATATAAAAACAATTAATATTTTTGGGATAATTCTTGCTTGTTGCGATTATTAATTGTTTTCTGCTTATATACAAGAAAAAATTAGATCAATACATTGATAAATGCACCTAGGAGAACTTCTTAAACTTTGCGTTTGCAAGTGGTGCTATTTTATTTTTCGCAGCTGTATATATATATATATATATTATATATAAGTTAAGCGCTCCCACACTAGAGTACTAGTGATTGGGGACGCTGTGTTGGGTTCTTGTGAATATATAAAAAATTTGGGTTCAATGAAATAATATATTTTATATAATTTGGAATTATAGGTCTAAACTCTCTCTAGTAAGAATATAAACTGAACTAAATCTGTTCTACTGGTTAGGTTCTCCCCTTGAATGTCTGACTGGACTCTCCAGCCTCCTTAGATTGTCGAAAGTCTTAACTCTTCCCCATCTAAATATTTGCGTTCCGCAGATCAGGGTGCATATGTCCATTATAATGATATTCATCAAATATAAATTGTCCAATATAATGGTATTTATCCAATATAAATTGCCCAATATAATGATATTTATCCAATATAAATTTATTAGCCATAGTCGATAGTTCCAGAGTCCATAAATTAGCATAAAGAGGGCCATCGATATCCACCTTCAAGTTAATTCAAAGCATTCATAGTTCCATACATTTAGTATTCATTTGTAGTTATACATCCAACATTGTAAGTGCATTTATTTCATTCCCTCTGGCATCTCGGAAATCGCTATTACCATGAATGATCGAAACTAGGAAGGATATACCACGTGTAAAATGCTGTGGATGCTATGGGTGCTTAGGAAGTTAATTTAATTAATTAAAATGTGCATTTTCCCTTTTTATACTCATTCACGAAAGTGAATCAGTATATTGGTTTTGTGCAATGTCCGTCTTGCTGTCCGTCTGTCCGTATGAACGCAATCTATTTCGGCGCTATTGAAGCTAGAGACTAGAAATTTGGAACACATACTCGTGTATGTTCCGATTTATAAAGTGTTAAAATTTTCCCGATCCGCCCACTAGGGGCGTGGCAAGTCGGAAAGTTTAAAGATAAATTATAAGTCTACGCCTATTGGGGGCGTGGCAAATCGGACCTGAAGATATAGTGATTTTTTAAATTCTCCTATATTTTTGACACTATTGATGGCAGAGACCTCAAATTTTGTATATAAACTCGGACTGATCACCCAAGACCAAAAAGTTTTGTCGGATATATGTCCGCCCACAGTGGGCGTGGCAAACCGCAAAAGTTTATATCTCCTAAAGTATAATAGCTAGAAGCTTCAAATTTGATAGTTTA